TCCAATCTTAACATGGTATCAAATATTGAACGATGGTATACATGGCAACATTTCATTGGATTTTGGGCTAAAACATAGTTAAAATAGCCAATCATGGGTTGCCATCTCAGCAATTGCAAAATCTCTTGTGCATTTCTCCTATACAAACGGTGAAATCCTTAAATATTTAAATGTTATACTTGCAGTCTTCATTCTGGCAAGGCATTCTGATGTTGGATTTTCTCTTCCAAATAGTTCAAGAACTTCTTTTCTTGCTTCTTCTTGCCAATCTGTATGGATTGCTAAGGGAAGAGAAGGCCAAAATAGAAAGCTGCTAGTTGTTTCATGTCCAGCAATGTGAAATACCTTACATTCATCAATTACATCATCATCATCTACTGATATTCTATTTTTCTTATTAGAATCATGGTGAACTTTTAGTAGTGAACCAAGGAAATCGCTCTTAAGAGATAAAATCCCAGATCGAATAAAAATGGAAACATAAACCAATTTATAAGGGATTGTGCTACTCCTCTTAATAAAATTAACATTTTAAGATAAGAGAGTTTTAATATAGTATTAGAGTCCATTAACAAACAACAAACAACAAACAACTCAATCCGATTAAAATTCATGGCACACGGATTTCAAGATTGATCTCCCCTTTATAAGGATAACTTTTAATATGGAATCCCAAGTCTTAATAATAACTTCCAAAATTGTCTGTTTCTCCTGTCATAACTTCTTCTATTTTCTTTATTATTGACACGATCGAGTCCCATGGCAACTGCTCGATTTTGTCAGATACGATTATTTGTTTGGTACTAGGTATTAGAGTCCATTAACAAACAACTCAATCCGATTAAAATTCATGGCACACGGATTTCAAGATTGATCTCCCCTTTATAAGGATAACTTTTAATATGGAATCCCAAGTCTTAATAATAACTTCCAAAATTGTCTGTTTCTCCTGTCATAACGTCTTCTATTTTCTTTATTATTGACACGATCGAGTCCCATGGCAACTGCTCGATTTTGTCAGATACGATTATTTGTTTGGTACTAAATATTTTCCAGCAATAATCAGAATGAAGATTATGTACTAATTTGAAGTAGTTCAACACTATGTTTAAATATAGAGCTGGAAAATTTCTCGATGCCAGGAAATCGAAACTTTTCAGCGCTTTTCATAACGATGAAGCCCAACCGTGTTCCCTTCCAAGTAACTGCTTTGAAAAGCTGTCTTGGAAATCACTTCTGAACCCAAAGCCAAGAATTCTTTGCATACATCAATTTCTTTGCCTTCATAATCCCTCCCTTTTTCGAGCATACTTTCAACACTCGCAATGATCGCAGTAACCATGAGAATGAACAAAGAGTATTTATTTTTTCAAATTTGATTTGTTGAAACTGAACAGAAAGAAGTCAATTACCTTCAAGTTCTCTGCAGAGTGAATGGAAACCGTTGGTTTGACTGTGGGATTTTGCTTCAATATGTGTCAGGGGCACTGTGGAATGAGTACTGCAGTCAAGGAACTAAGACTGCGGGCATATGGTGAAGATTGGTAAAGAATACGATGTTTGTCAAAGGACACTATAGAAAAAGTCTGTCCAGTCGAGGAACTAATGCTAGAGGCATTTGGTTAAGGCCAGTACCATAAACCACATCTTACATTTTCAAGTATGATCATCAAGTCCCAACAACGGGAAGGCCAAAGCTGTTAAGGCAACAACTGTGCAGACACATGCACCATACTCCACAGAGTTGTCACGCAAGCACAGAGCCACAAGCACAGTGCCGAAGAGACTAAGGCGAGGAGGCCAGAGTCTAGGATGAACCTAGACGAGAGACCAAAGGCAAATAACTGTGCAGACAAAGAAGATGATATAATATTGGTAGCACAACTATTAAGCTCAAGAGAAGGAAGGTAGGAGGACTTCAAGCACTTTAGTTAATCCTTCAGCATAGATAATCGTTAACTTTCATTAGGATTAACGAAGAAGCAACAGTATCAGCTTCTAATCTGACTTGAGTACAGCAATTAAAGTACTAAAAAGAATGTTGAAGGCCATATTGCTTTAGAAGCAAAACTCAATCACTTCAGTTTAACAAAATATTGTTGAGGACATGGGATTACGATCAATATCATGTTTCTCATTTTGCTGTCGGTGATGCATTTTCTGGGTATCAATCTTATATATTTCGAGTGAAGCCAAAATTGGAATCATGAAAATATGTTTCACATGCTCATTCTCATCCACGGTCACAGTGCAGAAAATTAAAGAATAATTGTGATCTCAAGGAAATTATTGATTGAAAGCATGCAATCATTATTTAAAAATATATAATTCGAGTATATCCTGTTGACACTCGTTAGTTATCCAGTAGTTCTGACTCAGGAATCTCTCAAAATCTAAGCCATGAACTGATAAAATTTCCAATTGCTCATAACTTAAGATTGTTTCCATGAAACCTGTTCAAGATGGATCTTACTATCAACTGCTACAACTCACAATGAATGGAGCAAGACCTGAACACCTTTTTCAGGCTGAGCCGTGAGTACCTGGAAAGGTACATGAACGTAATTTGGAGATAATGAGAACTTATAACGTTGAAGGATCATCGAGAGTGTAATCTTAGCTTCATTAGCCGCAAAGTTTAAGCCCACACACGCTCGAGGTCCATAACCAAATGGAAGGTATGCCATGGAGTTAATATTTCCAACTTTAGCCGATCCTTCTGCAAATCTCTCCGGTTTGAAAAGATGAGCATCTTCACCCCATATTTCAAAATTACGATGGAGTGCCAGAGTTGGAATAATCAAATCCATATTACCTGGAAGTTCGTATTTCCCCAATTGGACATTCCTATGTATGTGTCGTGAAATAGCCACAACAGGGCTATATAGCCTTAGAGTTTCATAAATAATCATGGTCACCTACAAAAGAAAAATGTAACAATCATACGTTATAGTTCCATGTGTGTATAAATGACAGGACTTTTATCTTAATTTTCTTACAGTTTTCAGTCTTGCAATGCCCTCTGAGTTTGGATTTTCTTGTCCGAATAGTTCAAGCACCTCTTTTCTTGCTCTCTCTTGCCAATCTGTGTGAATCGCAAGAAGAAGAATACTCCAACATAGTAAACTATAAGTTGTTTCTTGTCCAGCAAAATAAAATGTCTTGCATTCATCAATAAGATCAACTACTGATATTCTGTTTTTCTTATCCATGTCATGATGAACTTTTAGGAGCGATCCAAGAAAATCAGTTCCAAAGCTATCTGCTCGACCTGCCTTTACTTCGTCTTCTCTCATCTTCACTATTGCCATGATGGAATCGTGGAGCAATTGCTCAGTTTCGTCTGCTTCAACGTCGTTCTGCGATCGAATGAGTTTTCTACAATATTTCAAAGCAAATTAACAAAATACATTTTGGCATTTTCAGTTAGATTGACTGGATAGTACTGAACTGTAATAATAAAGAAAAAGAAACTAAAATCATGTTCACAATACTATCAAATCTTTTCTATCATGATCACTTACAGCTTAATATAGAAAATAAATGTTCAGTAGCATTGGTGACCAACTGAACACTATTCTTATGGCTATATAATTGATGAAACTAACAGTAGAATTGAACAAAAATACGCTTATATGATAAAAGAAAATAGAGAGAAGTAGCATACTCGATGCCAAAATATCGAATCTTGTGAGCATTTCTGGATATTATAACACATAGTTTTGTTAGCGTCTCAAATACTTTTCTCCCTTCCAAGTAACTGCTACCAAAAGCAGTCCTCGATATTACATCTGAGGTCAGAAACCTAAATTGCTCGCCCACATCAATCTCTTTGCCTTCATATTTTCTCCATGTCTCCAACATAGTGTCCACGCTTGCGATCATCGATGGAACCATATCCTGGGAAATTGATATTGAGGAATGTGAAAATTCTAATTATGGTATGGTCAAATATGCTTGATTAACCAAGGCTACGTTTGGCACATAGAACTGAACACTACTATGGACAAGATTCCGGTGTCGAACAAATTACCTACAAACATTAATTTACCAACATTCTGTACCTTTAAACTCTCTCCGTGGAAAGCATGGTTGGCCAGTTTCCGCAACTTTGACCATTTTTCACCTTCTGCTATAACTATTCCTTCCCCTAACAACTTATTCAAATAACGTCCGGGTTTAATTTTTCCATATTTACCTTCTTTATTGATCAGGATTTCTTTAACCAGCTCAGGTTCAGAAACAACAATTTGAGGTCTAGCACCATCCCACATAATAAAATTCTGACCTGGTCCAATAAAAAGCTTAAATGAGAAATTGATGAAGATTTTGTTAGCGATTAAGGCTTAAACAAGACAAGGAAACACACAAATTTAAGGTTGGTCTCCTGGTCTACGTCCAGTTTTCACTATAAAACCGCCACACGAAATTTGTCAGAATATTAGGGTGAATCTGGGCGATCTACAGTCGAGCGGAAAATCGGCTCCGCACAGTGCAACAGATGTACGAATAAATATGGAGCGAGTAAGAACAATATGTTACCATATAACTTCATCCATAAGTACAGGTGAGGGTGGATTCGGGGATATATGTCGTGCGATGACACATCCATGGGACTGCTTCTGGCTTGTTTCTTCATCTCGATAATCTCTTTCGTGTTTCCATGGATGAATTTATAAGCAGGGCCTTTAAGTCCTTGCGATTGCAGTATATTTTTCACACGAAACGGAATCCACCATAAATTGTAGAGAAATCTTACTGGAATTAATAGAATGAAGAACAGACAGATTGAGAAAAGACTGATCATTGCTTCAAGCAGACAGATCGGATAAAGAAGACGGTCATAGACAGACTTACTGAAGTTGCTGGTATCTACTGAGGATAAGAGCCGATAAGACCCGGAAAGAGTTAATTTAATCACTAGTCATTTAACTTTATTATTGGTTACTACTTTCTACCGAAATTTAAAAAGTTACTTTTTATTCCCTAAACTTTGCTAGGTTATTACTTGTTCAACGAAATTTAAAAAATTACTCATTATTCACCCAAATTTGATCAAAGTTACCCTTCAATCACACGTGTCATTTGCATCAGTGCTACCTATAAAAAAAGTTCTGTGAGCAATGAGTAATTTTGTTCAAACTTAGGAGAGCAACGATTAACCTTTTAAATTTTGGTGATCAAGTAATAATTTATAGCAAAGTTCGATTAACAACGAATAACTTTTAAAAAATCGATGAGTAAGTAGTAATTTATAATAAAGTTGAGTGACTATTGATTATTGATTAAATTGTCTCGCGAGGTAATCTAAGGAAAAAGGGAAAGCTGGAAATAAGGCTGGGCAAATCTCTCGAACTGAACCGATCGAATCGAAACGAACTGAATCAAACCGAACCTAATCTGACGATTCTTGTCAAATTAAATACCCGAATGGGTATCTGAATTGAGAACCGATGGGTACGGTTCGGTTCTCGATTCTAAACCAAGAACCGAATAAGAACCGAATCTTTCTAGTTTTTTTTTATATTGAATAAATCAAATTGTTTTAATTTTAATTTTTCTAAACAAATTAGCAAATTAACAATTTCTAAATCCAAATTTTTGACCCAATAATTTATTTCATTTCTAATTTTCTAAGTTTTGGCACAATCACCCATTTTATTGTTTCATTTCTTAGTCCAATATGATCCAATCCACTAAATAACCCTAAACACCTACATTATAATGCATAACGCTGTTTCAACTCTCGCAGCCTCGCTGACATTCCAAAGCCTATACAATCATCAGCCGACGCTGTGATCTCCGATCGAAACTTTGACCGTAGCGATCATTTGAATAAAGTAGTTTACTAGTCTCTGACATTCCAAAGTCATTGAATGTGTCATTAGTTGTATTTATAAAATGTTATTATAAATGTTAAAAAATTTAATTAAAGTACAGAACTGAACGGAATCGAGCTCGAACGGTTTCATAATTATATTTGGACCCGACGATTTCATTTACTAAATACCCGAAAATTTTGGTTCGGTTCGGCCCACGTTTACCCCTAGCTGAAAAGACAAAATACAAGCAGATTGCTCGAGTATTTTATGTTTTCCTGATCTCATCAATGACATACCACTATTGAAAAAATAATAATAATAATAAATGATCTCATCAATGACGAATTGAGGGGTAAAATTGGGAAGTCAGGTGGGGACATGACAGGTAAGTAGATGTTATTTTTTATTGCCATATTTGATAAGAGGTGGTCTTCTTGAATTGTGGATTCTAAACGGTACTCATGTCTTTCTACTTTCTTTG